CGATCAGCTTTCCATTATATCTGTACCAAATGGAAATTCCCCCGGTACAGCTATTGAAAACTTCATGAACTACGCGGTAAAAATAGATGTTAAATAATGTGGGAGCCAGAGGGCATCCCTGTCGCACCCCAAGGTTACAAGGAATAGCTCTGACTCTCGGCCACGTAGTTTTACCCGGGCCCGCTTACCATCATGAAGGTCCTTAATGATCGTGAGCGGAGGGTCAGGGACTCCGAAATCATGAAGAACAACCCAGAGCCCAGGCCTACTGTTAGTATCATAGGCCTTGACCGGGTCAATAAAGCATAGATGTAGGTCTTGTTGGAATTACCTACACCTCTGCTGTAGCAGACGGACAGAAAATATGGCATCTGTACAGAACCGCCCTTTCCTGAAACCGCATTGGGGCTCCGCAAGCCTCTTCTCAGCGTGCCTAGCAAGGCGATGTTGAATAATCCTTGCCAGGACCTTTCCCGGCACAATGAGGAGTGAGATGCCCCTGTAACTGTTACAGTCCGTGCGGTCCCCCTTCTTAAAGAGGGGGACCACAAGGGCATCCTTCCAGTCCTGCGGAACCCGTCCAGTGGCCCAGACTGTTGTTATGATGTAATGTCGGGCAGTCTGTGCACAAACGCCACCCTTCCTCAGCATTTCGCTTGGGAGATCATCTCTGCCCGGTGCCTTTCCTGGTCTCAGACTCCGGATCGCCTTCAGTACTTCCTCAACAGCTGGCACCTCAGCCAGCCACTCACAGGAGGTAACTTCTTCTTCCAATATTTGCAGCACCGCAGCCTCAGCAGGGTTAACCCCACTTTGTGCCATGATGTTTTCCTGGCTGAGGGATTTCCCCTCCCCCAGGACCTCACAAAAATGCTCAGCAAATCTGCAAACCTGTTCCTGGGGGTCGGAGATTGGATCACCGTCTTTTCCCCTAATGTTGGTAATAGGTATGGCGCTGCAGGTTACTTTTTTGATGAAGTAAAATATGGATTTGTGATCGTGGGCCACTGAGCCAGACTCCATCTCCTCAGCAACCTGCGACCACCATCCATCCTTGCAGCGCCTCACGGCTCTTCGAACCTCCGAGTGAAGGCTGCGGTAAGCCTCCTCATTCTCTGACGTGGGATGCTGTAGCCGATGAGAGTGGGCCTGTCGCTTTTTCTCAACCATCCTGAACACCTCCTCTGTGAGCCAGGGTCTCTGGGGAGGTCTGGACCGCGTACTCAAAGCGGCCATTGCAGCTGCATGAGTCACGGTCCTAAACCTCGCCCATTTACCCTCGACATCAGGAGGAGTGGGGGACGACGCCAACCCCAGCCGCAAGCGATGATGAAATTCTCGCTTGCAACTTTCATCAGCTAACTGAGACCAGGCCACCTTATGTTGGAATGGGGTCTTGGGTGTACACCCACCACCGGAGCGGAAGAATGGCAGGCGCATCTTACAGATGTGTGTGCCAGTGTGTGTGTCTGTGTGTGCCAGTGTACGTGTCTGTGTGCCCCAGTGTGTGTCTGTGTGTGCTAGTGCGTGTGTGCTGTGTGTGTCAGTGTGTGTGTCTGTGTGTGCCTGTGTGTGTGTCTGTGTGTGCCAGTGTGTGTGCCTGTGTGTGCCAGTGCGTGTGTCTGTGTGTGCCAGTGTGTGTGTGCCAGTGTGTGTGTGTGTGTGCCAGTATGTGTGCCAGTGTGTGTGTGTGTGTACCAGTTCGATTCCCGCTCATGGCCAACACCGGTGACGATTGTCTGAACCAGTCCTGGGCTTCCCCTAGGTCGACTCAGCCTCAAATGAGTGCCTGGTGCGGTGTGTAAACATCGCTAGCACTAGGGAGACAAAGGCGGCCGGGCGTGGTGCTGGCCACCCACCCCCTCGTGTGCCGTGCCGGCCTTCATAGGTGCTACTCGCTAACAGTACTTGCCCCTATAGTCTGTTAAGGCTACACGGGGGATCTTTGTCTGTGTGAACTGGACCAGAAAAATCTCGGCTCGCCCTGGCCCGGCTACCGCAAAACTAATTCACACAACAACAACAACAACAACCATCCCTGCGTGTGTAACAACAACAACAACAACACTCCCTGTGTGTGTGACAACAACACTCCCTGTGTGTCTGTGAAAACAACAACAACAACACTCCCTGTGTGTATGTAACAACAACAACAACAACAATCCCAGTGTGTGTGACAACAACAACAACACTCCCTGTGTGTGTGACAACAACAACACTCCCTGTGTGTGACAACAACAGCAACACTCCCTGTGTTGTTGTTGTTGTTGTTGACCCACGGCTACCAGAGTAGTTGTGGGTCACGCTGTGAGCCACGTCCCGTGCTGTGCAACACTCACGGGCACCCCCCCCCCCCCCCATTACTCCTCCCCCCAATCCCTCCCCCATCCCCTCCACCCCTCCCCTCTTACCCCTCCACCCCTCCCCTCAATCCCTCCCCCATCCCCCTCCACCCCTCCCCTCTCACCCCTCCCCCAACCCCCTCCACCCCTCCCCCATCCCCCTCCACCCCTCCCCTCTCACCCCTCCCCCAACCCCCTCCACCCCTCCCCCATCCCCCTCCACCCCTCCCCTCTCACCCCTCCCCCAACCCCCTCCACCCCTCTCCCATCCCCCTTCACCCCTCCCCTCTCATCCCTCCCCCCAACCCCCTCCACCCCTCCCCCATCCCCCTCCACCCCTCCCCTCTCACCCCTCCCCCAACCCCCTCCACCCCTCCCCCATCCCCCTCCACCCCTCCCCTCTCACCCCTCCCCCAACCCCCTCCACCCCTCCCCCATCCTCCTCCCTCCACCCCTCCCCTCTCACCCCTCCCCCAACCCCCTCCACCCCTCCCCCATCCCCCTCCACCCCTCCCCTCTCACCCCTCCCCCAACCCCCTCCACCCCTCTCCCATCCCCCTTCACCCCTCCCCTCTCACCCCTCCCCCCAACCCCCTCCACCCCTCCCCCATCCCCCTACACCCCTCCCCTCTCACCCCTCCCCCCATCCCCCTCCACCCCCCACCGCTAACGTATTGTCCTAAGCACATTTTTAATTCACATTACCCACACACATCTTTCAAATACACCACAGGCAACATAGCATATTAAAGCGCGTATTTATTATGCATTATGCATGACAATGTGTTTGCTAAAGTATATAATATGTGCATTGTTACATACTATTACATTAAACTATTTAATTGCATTAATTAACATTTTTTAAATATCATCTGACATAAATGCGGGTTTAACTGTGTGTGTGAGCATCTGTCTCTGTGCGCGTGTCTCTGTGTGTCTTTGTGTGTCTTCGTGTGTCTCCGTGTGTCTCTGTGTGTGTCTCTGTGTGCGTGTCTCTGTGTGTGTCTGTGTGTCTCTGTGTGTGTGTCTCTGTGTGTCTCTGTGTGTTTCCGTGTGTCTCTGTGTGCGTGTCTCTGTGTGTCTCTGTGTGTGTCTCTGCGTGTCCCTGTGTGTCTCTTCGTGCGTGTCTCTGTGTGTCTTTGTGTGTCTCTGTGTATGTTTTTGCGTGTCTCCGTGTGTCTCTGTGTGCGTGTCTCTGTGTGTCTCTGTGTGTCTCTGTGTGTGTGTCTCTGTGTGTCTCTGTGTGTGTCTCTGCGTGTCTCCGTGTGTCTCTTCGTGCGTGTCTCTGTGTGTCTCGGTGTGTCTCTGTGTATGTTTCTGCGTGTCTCCGTGTGACTCTGTGTGCGTGTCTCTGTGTGTCTCTGTGTTTCTCTGTGTGTGTGTCTCTGTGTGTCTCTGTGTGTGTGTCTCTGTGTGTGTGTCTCTGTGTGTGTCTCTGTGTCTCTGTGTGTGTCTCTGTGTGTGTCTCTGTGTGTGTGTCTCTATGTCTCTGTGTGTGTGTCTCTGTGTGTCTCCGTGTGTCTCTGTGTGTCTCTGTGTGTCTCTGCGTGTCTCCGTGTGTCTCTTCGTGCGTGTCTCTGTGTGTCTCAGTGTTCATGTCTCTCAACGGCGGCAGTGCGAGGTGCTGGCCACCCACCCCGCGTGTGCCGTGCTACTCGCTAACAGCACTTGCCCCAGCAGTCTGTTACAGGCTACACGGGAGACCTTTGTCTTTGTGTCTCTGTGCGTGTCTCTATGTGTCTCTGTGCGTCTGTGGGCGGGGAGCGGCAGTGTTGTGGTGAGCGCGCTGCGATACGGTGACGATTACCTGAGCAAGGTCTTGGGCCTCCCCTAGGTCGACTCAGCCTCAAATGAGTACCTGGTGTGGTGTGTAGTAAACATCGGCACTGGGGAGACAAAGGCGGCCGGGCGTGGTGCTGGCCACCCACCCTCTCGTGTCCCGTGCTGGCCTTCATAGGTGCTCGCTGACAGCACTTGCCCCAACAGTCTATCTAGGCTATACGGGGCGTCTATGTCTTTGTCTTTGGGGAGCGGTGGCGCAGCGGTTAGCGTGCAGCGCCACGAACCCGGCGACCCGAGTTCGACTCCCGCTCAGGGCCAGCACCGGTGACGAGCACGCGAACTTGTCCTGGCCCTGCCCACAGGTCGACTCAGCCTCAAATGAGTGAGGCTGGTGCAGTGAGTAAACATCGCCAATGGGGAGACAAAGGCGGTCGGGCGTGGCGCTGGCGTCCTTCCATAGGTGCTCGCTAACAGCACTTGCCCCAACAGTCTGTTCAAGGCTACACGGGGGATATCTGGTAGTGATGATCCTTCTGGTGGGGGTGATGGGGGTGGTGATGATGATGATGATGCGTCTGATGACGGTGGTGATGGTTGATCATCCTTTTGGTGATGGTGGTGATGGTGTTGATGATGATGCTGATGATGGTGTTATGCCCACACGAGGAATCTTTGTCTTTGTGCGTTTGCATCTGCTTGTCTGTTGGTTTCTTGACAAACGCTGGGGGGGGGGTGGGGGGGTCTTCCTCCCGCTCCCCCTCCCCTCTCATCCCCCCCCCCCCACCACCTCCTCCCTTCTCTCCCCATGCCCCCACCCCCTCCTCCTCTCTCCTCCGCGGATTCATTCGCGAGTGGCACTCAGCCCGCGCCGAGTCTCTTCAGCGTCGTCCCATCACCGATCGCACTCCGCGCGTCAACGAAGAGCGAAGGGGGTCCCACAGACAACAGCCGTCTTGTGCGCTTGTAAACACGACTCTGTGTGTGTGTGCGTCTGTGTGTGTGTGTGTGTGAGTCTCTGTGTGTGTGTGTGTGTGTCTGTGTGTGTGTGAGTCAACTTTGGTGTGCGAGGTTTGAGAGATGTTAGTGGAGGCTCGCGACGAGAGAAGAGAGAAGAGCCTCCTTGGACAATTTGAAGAGAGGGCAGAGACGGCACGCGAGTGAGGAGCCTCACTCTCCTCTCTCTCCTCTCTCTGTGTGCCCGTGCGCTCGTGCGCTCACTCGCTCTTCAAGCACCACCGACCCACCGCCACCTCGTCTCTCCATCACTCATCACCTCGTCTCTCTATCATCTGGTTTCTCCATCACTTCGTCTCTCTATCACCCACCCATCACCTCATCTCTCTATCATCTGGTTTCTCCATCACTTCGTCTCTCTATCACCCACCCATCACCTCGTCTCTCTATCATCTGGTTTCTCCATCACTTCGTCTCTCTATCACCCACCCATCACCTCATCTCTCTATCATCTGGTTTCTCCATCACTTCGTCTCTCTATCACCCACCCATCACCTCGTCTCTCTATCATCTGGTTTCTCCATCACTTCGTCTCTCTATCACCCACCCATCACCTCGTCTCTCTATCATCTGGTTTCTCCATCACTCACCCACCACCCCGTTTCTCCAGCACCCATCACCTCGTCTCTCCATTACCTTGTATCGATTCACTCGCATCTACCATCATCATCACCACACTCACGCGCCACCATCATCATCAACGTTACCATCATCATCATCATCATCATCCGCAAGATCTCTTCTTCAACGAGCGCGTGGTTACAGCGAGCGAACATCGGTCCATCCGACCCCAGACTGCCCGCCCCAGGTTCGACTCCGAACCCAGCCGAGCCGGACCCAGACCAGACCCGGACCGGGCCTAACTGGACCTGGTCCGCACTCAACCGGACCCAACCGGACTCAACCGGACTCAACCGGACCCAACCGGACCTGAACCGGACCCAACCGGACCTGAACCGGACCTGAACCGGACCTGAACCGGACCCAAGCGGACTGGGACTGCATCCAACTAGAACCTGGACCGGACTCAACCCGAACCCGACCCAGAACCATGGGTACAGGCAAGCAACGCGGTCCGCAGAGTGGGTACTGGTCTTGAACCAGGGGCGCTAGGACCTGGGACCAAGACACGAAAGACCGGCGAAGCAGCACCACCACCACCATCATCATCACAGGAACCCAGGAACCCAGAATCAGCACCACGGACAGCGCCCAGAGACGGGGATTTTGAGTGACGGCTAGTCGGGAATTCGCTGAGCCGAACCACAGACCCACCAGAGCTGGATCCCAAAACTGAACTCCGCACCCCGAGGCCCCAGACCTTGGCACGGGGACCCCCTCGAGACGGCGGAACGCTGAGCCCGAGGAAGACGACGCGGCGTTACAGCCTGGACCCCCAGGAGCGAGGTCCCAGGAGACGCCTCGGGTCGCGATGCTGCGAGCGGCGCTGTGGTGGGCGGCGCTGCTGGGACGAGTGGGGATGGTAAGGGTGACGGTGTGCGCCCACGTTCGTTCGCTCACTCACTCGTCCATTCACTCATTCACTCACTCGTTCGTTCACTCTCGCGTTCACCCGTTGATCGCACTTGCTACATCGCTCATTCGTCCGTGCATTCACTCACTCGAGCGCTCGTTCACTCATCAGCTTGCTCACTCGTTCACACATTTACTGATTCACTGACTCATTCACTCAATCGTCCATTCACTCATTCATTCACTCTCGCGTTCACCAATTGATCGCACTTACTACATCGCTAATTCGTCCGTGCATTCACTCAAGCACTCGCTCACTCATCACGTGATTCATTCGTGCACCCGTGACTCACGAATTCACACATTCACCGTCTCGGTCACTCATTCCTTCACTCGATCATTCGGTTATTAAATAACTCATTCATTTATACATTCACTTACTCATTAGCTGACTCCTTCGCTCACCCGTAACTCATGAATTCACATATTCACTGATTCAGTCACTCATTCATTCACTCGATCATTCTGTTATTAAATAACTCATTCATTTATACATTCACTTACTCATTAGATGACTCGTTATCTCACCCGTGAGTCAAGAATTCACATATCCATTGATTCAGTCACTCATTCATTCACTCAATCATTCAGTTATTAAAATCACTCATTCATATATACATGAAGCTGATTGTATCAGCGAAACGTCGTACTACTCAAATTTCAAAATGCTGTTGATTCTCTCTTCAGCACACCGGTGGGCTTAAGAAGTGAATGATTTTGTCCTTTGAAAAACGTGACACATTTTTTACTGTTTGGCCGTGTCGGGTGGTGGAGGGTTACGACACATTTATAAATAACGCGATCTGACCCAAAAACCTATATTATGCATATATACATTCACTTACTCATTAGCTGACTCGTTCGCTCACTCGTAACTCATGAAATCACATATTCACTGATTCAGTCACTAATTAATTCACTCAATCATTCAGTTATTATAATCACTCATTCATATATACATTCACTTACTGATTAGCTGACTCGTTCGCTCACTCGTAACTCATGAATTCACATATTCACTGATTCAGTCACTCATTCATTCACTCAATCATTCGGTTATTAAATAACTCATTCATTTATACATTCACTTGCTCACTCGCGTACTCGTTCACTCACCTATGACTCAGTAATTAACGTTCTAATTAATCCACTTATTCAGTCACTCATTCATCTATTTGCTTCATTGTTTCTCTCATTGGCTTACTCGTTCCCTTCCTCATTACTCACTATTCCACTCACCCATTTACTTACTCATTGGCCTACTCATTTCATTATTTCATCTACAAATGCATTGACCCACACGCTAATTTAAGCACTCGTTCATTAATTTACTCATTTGAAAATTATCTTACTCATTCCCTTGCTATTTCACTCTTTCATTCATTCGCTCATCGGCTCACTCATTCGTTCACACATTAACTGACTCGTTCATTAACTCATTCCCTCACTCATTCTCTTATTCATTCACTCATCCAATCCCTCGTTCGTTTACGCCATCACTAAATCACTCATTCTGGTATTATATTAATCCCTTGCTCATTCAATTATTCCTTCATTCACTTACTCATTCACTCATTAAGTAACGTTTCAACGATTCATCCACACTCTCGTTCACTTTCTCATTCATTCATTCATTCATGGATTAACTGACCTAATAATTACCTTGTTCCCGTGTTCATTCAATTACTCGATCATTCGTTTATTCAATCATGCACGCTCTCATTTACGTCATCATTAGCTCATTCATTTACGTCATCATTAGCTCATTCATTTACGTCATCACATGCTCATTCATTTACGTCATCCAATGCTCATTCATTTACGTCATCACACACTCATTCATTTACGTCATCATTAGCTCATTCATTTACGTCATCACACGCTCATTCATTTACGTCATCACATGCTCATCCATTTACGTCATCATTAGCTCATTCATTTACGTCATCACATGCTCATTCATCTACGTCATCATTAGCTCATTCATTTACGTCATCCAATGCTCATTCATCTACGTCATCACATGCTCATTCATCTACGTCATCACATATTCATTCATTTACTCACTGATTCGCTTACTCGTTCATTCACACAATCACGTACTCACTGCCTCACTCACTTATGAACTAATTCACTTAACTCGTTGTTATTTAATTACAAACTCGTTCATTCACGCCATGACTAATCCATTTACTCACACGTGTCAAACCCTCATCCTGTGACGTATTCACTCACTCCTCATTAAACTATTCAAGCGCTCATTCGCTTATTCATATGTTAATTGCTTCGATGATTCACTTTTGTGTTAACTCACTTAATTCAATTTCGATGTTAAGCTTTCGTAACTGCAGGGATTCATATTCTTGGTTCTTTCGGTAAAGTCACGTAGAAGGGACAAAAAATTGAAACAATAAAATTCTCACGACTTTTCGATTGCAACACACCTGATGATGATTGCTTGTGTTGCAGTCGAAACGTCGTGAGAATTTTATTGTTTTATTTTTATTTTTTTATTATTTCCCTTCTACGTCACTTAATTAAGTCATTTATGAATTCACCCACGATCATTCGCTGACTCATAATCAGCTCAGGCATGCACTCATCAATTCGCGCATGCATTCATTCATTACATTACTCGTTCTCACACTCGTTCCCATAACTATTCGCTTATCCACTCATTTATTTGGTCATTCATTATATTCGTCATTCACAACTCATTCATATATTTACACTCACATTCATGTACTCATTCACTCACGCACGCACGCACTCGCTCACACACTCATTCCCACAACCATTCACTTATCCACTCATTTATTTATCCGGTCATTCGTGAAATAATTAATGCACGACTCATTCATTTATGAAGTCATAATTTCCGTTAATTCCTTCACTAACGCACGCAATAGTTCACTCGATAATTCACGTAAATCCTTCACTCACTCGTCCACTCATTCACTTATTTCTACATGAACTCATTCAATGAATAGTTACATAATCTCATCATATATGAACTCATTGGCTTAGGCCTTCACTAAACTCACTCACTGAATGATGGTCACCCTCCTTTGGACAGACCTGACCCCTTCCATAAGCATGTGAACACGCAATCGAAATGTAATAAGTTCAAACTATAACCAATTCAGCACAAGTCCTCGATGGATAGACTATTCCCCGCCATGGGAACGTGGAATGTCATCTCGGTTTCATTGCCGGCCACGGCTAACATCAGCGGCAGTTGAGCTCTCTGAGCCGTCTTCTTGGTTCTTTCGGTAAAGTCACGTAGAAGGGAAGTAATAAAATAATAAAAATAAAACATAATAAAATAAAATAATTATTTTATTTTATAATTATTTTATTTTATTATGTTTTATTTTTATTATTTTATTACTTCCCTTCTACGTGACTTTACCGAAAGAACCAAGAAGATGAATCCCTGCAGTCACGAAAGCTTTAAATCGAAACTCTCTGAGCCGGTCTTGGGTCTCCCCTAGGTCGACTCAACCTCAACACGAGTACCTGGTGCGGTGGTATATAGTAAACATCGCCACTGGGGAGACAAAGGCGGCCGGACATGGTGCTGGCCACCCACCCCCTCGTGTGCCGTGCCGGTCTTCATAGGTGCTGCTCGCTAACAGCACTTGCCCCAACAGTCTGTTGAGGCTACACGTGGGATCTTTGTCTTTGTGTGTGTGTGTGTGGGGTGGTGTCGCTGGTGGTTGTGGCATCGCAGCATTCACAGCGCTGCAGGATGAGTGGAGCTGAGTGGAGCTGCTGAGTGGAACTGTGTGGAGCTGCTGAGTGGAGCTAAGTGGAGCTGCTGAGTGGAGCTGAGTGGAGCTGTGTGGAGCTGCTGAGTGGAGCTAAGTGGAGCTGCTGAGTGGAGCTGAGTGGAGCTGAGTGGAGCTGAGTGGAGCTGAGTGGAGCTGCTGAGTGGAGCTGAGTGGAGCTGTGTGGAGCTGCTGAGTGGAGCTAAGTGGAGCTGCTGAGTGGAGCTGAGTGGAGCTGTGTGGAGCTGCTGAGTGGAGCTAAGTGGAGCTGCTGAGTGGAGCTGAGTGGAGCTGAGTGGAGCTGCTGAGTGGAGCTGCTGAGTGGAGCTGTGTGGAGCTGTGTGGAGCTGCTGAGTGGAGCTAAGTGGAGCTGCTGAGTGGAGCTGAGTGGAGCTGTGTGGAGCTGCTGAGTGGAGCTGAGTGGAGCTGTGTGGAGCTGCTGAGTGGAGCTAAGTGGAGCTGCTGAGTGGAGCTGAGTGGAGCTGAGTGGAGCTGCTGAGTGGAGCTGCTGAGTGGAGCTGTGTGAAGCTGTGTGGAGCTGTGTGGAGCTGCTGAGTGGAGCTGTGTGGAGCTGTGTGGAGCTGTGTGGAGCTGCTGAGTGGAGCTGCTGAGTGGAGCTGAGTGGAGCTGCTGAGTGGAGCTGCTGAGTGGAGCTGAGTGGAGCTGAGTGGTGCTGCTGAGTGGAGCTGCTGAGTGGAGCTGCTGAGTGGAGGTGCTGAGTGGAGCTGAGTGGAGCTGCTGAGTGGAGCTGAGTGAAGCTGCTGAGTGGAGCTGTTGAGTGGAGCTGCTGAGTGGAGCTGCTGAGTGGAGCTGCTGAGTGGAGCTGCTGAGTGGAGCTGAGTGAAGCTGCTGAGTGGAGCTGTTGAGTGAAGCTGCTGAGTGAAGCTGCTGAGTGGAGCTGCAGAGTGGAGCTGCTGAGTGGAGGTGAGTGGAGCTGCTGAGTGGAGCTGTTGAGTGGAGCTGAGTGGAGCTGCTGAGTGGAGCTGCTGAGTGGAGCTGCTGAGTGGAGCTGCTGAGTGGAGCTGCTGAGTGGAGCTGAGTGAAGCTGCTGAGTGGAGCTGCTGAGTGGAGCTGCTGAGTAGAGCTGCTGAGTGGAGCTGCTGAGTGGAGCTGCTGAGTGGAGCTGAGTGAAGCTGCTGAGTGGAGCTGTTGAGTGAAGCTGCTGAGTGAAGCTGCTGAG